GGGTCCTTTTATTTTCATTTTGAAAGTGTGGGTGAAAGTGTTAAATATTTAATTGGAGAAAGGTGGGCTGTGTTTTGGTACTTTCGATGCCGTTTCTGTGTTGCTGTTGATTTTGGACAGTAGGAGAACTGTGTTGTTTCCACCCAGACAAGCAGATTATCTGAAACTAGAACACGTCTTTTTGTGTATCTCCTGTCCTGTGTGTTAATCGGGGTCTCAGTTTGAAGAGCTTTGGCTTTATTTCAGGTTAAATGACTGTCAGCCTTCACTGTAAGAAGTGTAAGAAGAAGGAATGTGTGGGTGTGTAGGTGTGTGTGTGTGTGTGTAATGAGAGATAAGACAGCACAAGTGTTAGTGTCATGTGGTGAGAAAAGTGTATAGAAAGAGAGAAAATCAGAGGGGACAGAATGTCACCACCAGAATGATAATAATAATTACTGAATAATATATTTACAGTCATGCCAGTAAATCTGCTGTAAATCTGTGCTGCATTTGAAAAAGAAATAAAGTCCCCTGTTATATAATGAATCAACTTTGTTTCACATTTAAACACTTGAACCACCTTCTGATTTAATTTATCAGGTGCAATTTTGTATTTTTATTGCAACTTTAAAGGTTCCCTGGGGGGTTTTAGACCTAATATGGAGCTAGTTATTTACCAATTAGTCTAAAGTGGCAGTGACAGGATATGCAAAGGATAAAGGAGGGGAAGAAGAAGAATGTACTTGTAAACAACTATGGATTTAAGATACTTAAAAAACAGCTTTGTAAATGTTTTGTGAGGAAGGAAATGCCCTCAACACATTTGTTAGACATCAAGGTTTCCCTTTTGGTGAATGTCAACATGACTTCATAACTCAACAGGCCCCTTTAATTATCTCCTCACTTGGGTCAGCTCCAGGTTACTTTATTTCTCATTCATGAAAACTCTTTTGTAGCTAATATTGTATACTGTGCACTAATACAATTAGTTTAGTACATTCTATTTTTATTGTCATGCTTATCTTTCTATATAGTAGATGCTCATTATCTAAATAGTATTCTAGTTTTATTTTTCTTATGTATACAATGCACCTGTTTCATAGATCAATATTGTCAAAGCAGAAAACCTTATTTTTACTGTACAGTTAGGGATCAGAGCAAAAGGTGCAGTGCCCAGTCAACACTGTCTCCCCATAAACCAGAGGCTGCAGTCACGGTCTAAAGTGGTTTTACAGCATAATTTCCCATTTGTGATATTGTTGATCATTATTAACCTATTGACTTACAAAGCTGAGTTTATTATAGAGGCTAATCTTACATATTGACTTTAGGGTCATAACCCTTTTCTTTCACACAACCCATTAACATAATGATTTCCGTGTTTTATTGGCTTTGTGGGAAACCCAACATGGCTGGTAAAAAAACAAAATAGGAAGTCACATTCAGAGCACACATTTCATTCACTCTGCCCTGTTTCTTGTAGCCTTTAGAACCAATGTAGAAGTTTTACTGCTTGTTCCTGGGGGGGGGGGGCTTCCTGCATTGCTGACCTTCTCTTTCCATACATTCCTGTTCACACTCTGAGGTCAGCTGACCAGTTGTTGCTGACTGTCCACACATAGCAGGAGGCCTCCATAGATCTGGAATAGCTTCTCACGACCTCTTATGAATGTCTATTAAAAATGTAAATTGGCTTTGAACTGTGTGTGTGTATGTGTGCGTGCTGGTTGGTGGATCAGTGCAAGAGGTCAGACACTCCACTAATCTTAAAATGAAACTGAAATACATAGCACACATTGGTTGGTTGTGACAACACTCATAGCACCTTGTCAAACACACACACACACACACGTTTCCCCACCTGCAACGCACACTACAAATTCCTGCTTCCCACATCACACCCGAGTCCTGACTGTCTATCTCACAATCTGACCTTGGCTCTGATTGGCTGCTGCAAACACACCTGTCAATCTAAGGTGGGTGAATTTCTTGTTTGGTTCCCTGGCGATGGCATCAGCCAATCAGGATGAGCCGTGCACTGTACACCAGTGGTTTGATACACCTTCCCAGTTGGATTTCACAGATCACTTGGATTACATTACGGTGTTACATGGAGAATTTTCTTTAAATCAATAAATAATTTACTCACTTGATTTATTTCACTGCTTTGGCAATACAAAACAATACAAAACAAGACAAATTACTGTAAAACTGAAAAGTCAAATAAAAAAATTAAAGTGAAATTAGTGAAAGTGAAAGTATCAAATTTCAGTAAAAAAGACACAAAAATGACTTCCACAGTTTATTTTGGTGAGATCATTCCTTGAGCTACTGCAAAAATAAACCATTTAATATTTAATCACATGATGTTGGAGTTCTGAGCCCAAAATAAAATCCTCAGTGTGTGTGTTTGCATGTGTGGATGAAAATCCTGCATGTCTAATGAGAGACAGTGGAGACTTATGTTATAGTATTACCCTCCAGGGTTTGCTGCAGCACTACTACATGCACACATAAACAGATGCACGGTGCTGCTCTGCGTCCTCTCTGGTCTATCAGCCCTGTTGCTCAAAACAGTGTGAGTTCATATTTCAGGCATGAAAGGCATGAAGACGCCTGTGAATCACACACACACACATCTCCTGTCTCCACCCTCCCTCCCAATCACTAAGCTTATCTTTCTTGTTTTTCTAACTTTCTCCTGTTTTACTCAGTGCTACACTAAAATGCCGTCCTGTCATCACAAGTCTTCTTAAATTTCTCATTTAAGGAGCTCCAAAATAAGATAAAATGTTTTGTATGGACGACAATTCTTAAAATGTACACATTTAATGCATTTCTTTGTTTTATATCATTGTAAATAGAATGTATTTGGGCTAATTGGATGTTGGTCAGACTAAATAAGTATCTTTGGGTTATGATGATTTGGAATAACATTCTATAGAATAAATGATGGCTTAAGACATGGCTTAAGGCAAACCAAACATGGCTTAAGGCAAACAAAACTTGCGGCCATGAGTCATGATAATCTTACCACCTCATCTCTGGCACTGCCTTTAAACAGTCTCATTATGTTTATGATACCTTTAAATCTCTAAGGCTTGTAGTACTTGTTGAAGCATTGTACTGATGACATTAGGGACTTATTTGTTATAACCTGCCCAGAGACTATGGAGGGAAATATTAGCATATTAGCTAACTCCGGCACAGTTACACTGAAGAGTAAACTGTGATGCTGATTAATGTGCATTGTCCCTAGAAAATGGCTACATTGGTTAGAGGAGCCCATTTCCCCAGACACATTTACCATTTTGGGAACACTGAACATTGAACTAACTTTGAACTAAATTTAAATAGGTTTCCTTGGGTTTAATATAAATGTGTCACGATGGACCCAACGATGGGTCCTTAGGCTTCTGATATACTTCCTTTTAACTATATGACTTTCTGTGTGCATGATGGCTTCCCAGCATATTCTGCGTTCCTTTGGAGCCTCTGTCTCTCTGTGTTCCTCCTCTCTGTAAGTTCCTTTCCATTACAGCTGAACTTTATTACACTAAATATTTTATCCGTCTCTCACTCTGGAGTTTCAGCTGCAGAGACTCTCAGCACCATTTAGATCCTGTTACTGCTCATCTATCCTTCCCTAGCTTCTCTCCAGTGGAGCAGTGACTCACACAGCAAAGCACAACTTCACTGTAAACCTCAGATGACTAATACATACATAGCAGCTGTGCTTTTCCTCTTCACCTCCTCCTCCTCCTCCTCTCTTTCCTCACCTCAGCTCCCCGTCACCTGCTTTTACCTATCTGCTCCTCCTACGCCCAATTCAGACTGACAGCGACAAACAGAGATGAACAGTAGCACGAAATTCTGTTCATTTCCTATGTTGAGAAGTCCTGAAAAAGCTTTTCCTCCAAAAAGCTGACAAATATCACGTCATGCAAAAAAGTGAGGATTTCAAGGTCCATAAGGATAAAGAGAAGCCGAAATTACAGCTTTTTTTGGCATGTCAAATAATCCGCAAATATATAACGTGCATGATCACCTGCATTTATGACACATATCAAAAATGCTTTCTGATCACTCATTCCACCCATCCGTCTTTTGCTGCTTATCACCCTTTTCTTCCACCTCCTGCTGGGGTGCCCTAAAGTGGTCCCATGCCAACTTGGATATGTTATCCCTCCAGCATTTCTGGGCATGCCGCAGGGTCTCCTCCCAGTTTGACAAGCATGGAATACACAGAGAGGGAGTATCCGAATCAGGAGCCCGAACCACCTCAACTGGCTCCTTTCACTGTAAAGGAGCAATAATTCTAGCACCTTCTGGCTGTTTAAGCTCCTCACCAGTCCCCAAGACTCATTTTGTTTGTTTGATGAAAGTGTCCTTCCTGGCGATTGGTCATTCTAATTTTGCAATTGCCATATCCGATGCCAATATTTAGCAAATGCTGACTGCTCTAAAACAACATATATTTGAAAGCAGCACAAATCTCCTAAAGCTTTCTAAAACAAATTTTATATAAATCATTTCATTCATTATTTCCTAATCTGAAAACAAGTAAACACAGAAATCAGCTCCATGGTTTTAACCGTGCCACCAAGCTATGTCCAGCAACCGTGGTTTGGACCAATAAGGAACTAGGTGTGTGTGATAAAGCGTGGGAAAAGTGACTGCTTAAAAGGTTAGCATAGATGTTGCCAGCCTCAGTTATATCAAAACTGGAGAGTTCACCTGTGATAGACATCCAATCACCTTCAAAGTTTCCAATAACACCTCCTGTTAACAATTATTCTGTGGTAAGACATAATTAGTTGCAAAGACACAGGCCCACCCAAAAATAAAGGTGCACACTGCAGTGGACCTACATAACCGGGGTATGTTCAACTCATCGGGATAATTCCGGTACTTTCAGTGTTGGTACTTTTTGATGAGAACACAGCGTTATCTACCTTTTGCCCACATACCCTGCTCCTCATGATGACCCCTCCTCCTCTTAACCCATCATACACACCTCACCTCCTCCTCATCTCTTCTGCATCCACCTTCTCTTTTCTCTCTTCATCTCCTCCCCATGCATCTCCCTGCCTCTTCAGTTTCTCTGCACCTCCTGTGGAGAAAGAAATATGCAGCATCTTTACTGAAGCCATGAACTCCCCCTGCACCTCCTCACTCACACTGCAGATGGTGCAAAATATAGGTAATCACACACACACAGATGCAAAGTAATTTCCACAATAACAAATCAAACACAGCCACAAATGTGCTTATAAATAGCCATAGATCAGTCATATTTGTTCACACTCTCTCTCATACACACACACACACACAAACACACACACAGTTTTCCCCATAAGAGCAGTCCAATCTATTATTGAGAAGACCGCCGTCATTTCAGGGCCTGAAGGTCACCGGCATCAATAACTCTGCTGGTAGCCACTAGATGACCCCTCTATCCACACACACATACTCACACACAGCCGGTCACGTGACAGAAACTCTCAGCGCCAGCAAATCCTGATTTAACAAAAACCCATGGTAACAGCAGGAAGGCTTCAATGTAGGCAATCAAAATGTATGAAACATCATTCAAGGTGATTTTATTACAGATGAAGACTACTTTCGATGTTTCAGGACTGTGTTACATAGTTTTAGCCAGATCCCAGTTTTACTCTAACAAATCTTGCAACAGTTTGGGGGAGAGCCATACAACACTATACACAAAGCCATGTCCACAAGGAAATGTTTTCCCAGTTATAGAATAACCTGACTGTCCTGCACAGAGCCCTCACCTCAACCTCATCCAATACCTTTGGGATCAACTAATCAGCCAGGTTCCAACATCTGGTGGAAAGCCTGAAACCACAAGTTCTGGAGGCAGTTTTACCTGCAGATCAGTGCCTCTGGTTTTCAAATGATATATTAAGCATAGGTATGGATGTAATGGTCCATATGCTTTGTCCATGTGTCCATATACTTTTGGACAAGGAAATCATCACACTCCTTGTATACAATAAATCAAATATGTGACTAAAATGAATGAACGAGAGAGGATTAAGTGCAATCTTGTGGCAAGAAATGGAGCCTCCTTTGGCTGTTTTTGTGTGACTTTGATCCTTGTTTAAAGGCAACTCGGGTCGATCACAGCTCCTTATCAAGACCTCACTTGATCTTTTGACAAAGTCATTTGTGTGTGAGTGTGTGTGT